CACACACACACACCAAATAGACAAAAATAAATAAAAGTTAAACGGGCGAAGCGAGACAAAACCAAGGTTTTATCCATCCCCGTGAACAACAAAATGTCCCCCTCTCCGGCAAAAAAAGATAAACAAAAGATTAGAACGTATACCTATACTCCAAAGGTTGTTGGAAAGAGCGGGCGAAATGAAAATTCAAAACAGAATACCCTCTCACTGTTTTTATTTTTATCTTATTTCTTGAAAAAAATCAATTAATTCAAAATTTGTCCATGATTTCAAAAAAATTAAAAATTGGTGCTGTTTCTTTTCTTGAGTGATCGGCGAAAACGCGAGAGGGCGTTAGAGACGTATTTGAGACTGCCACGAGAGCGACGTTATTGAGAAAGAAACGCCGTAAGATCCATCGCAGATGTTAATTATCTTTTACTCTAAAGAAATTTGTGTCATAAGTGATGCTGGCAAGTAGTTGCAAAGTAAAGACAATCTTGTTCGTTAAAAATAAATATATTGTAAGTAATGCCGTAATACTTACTGCTAAAACATTTACATGTAGGCTTTATGTGCCATCAATCCAATTTGATTCTTGTAAATTATGTTTTTATATTATACACATTAAATGTCCTTAATAATAATTATTCGTTGTTAACCAACCGTATGATTGACCAATTTATATTCTTTCATAGTTTTGATATTTGATAACTTCCATTTTTTTTTTCTGGATGAATTACAATCGCGAATTTTCTTAACGAAATTTAAGAACTTATTTATAAGTCAGAATTCCAGACCATCGTTATCAGTGAAAAAGGACTCTTAAAAAATCTATACTATTTTCGAGGTTTTGGGAGTGGATGTGCAAGCGCTTAGCCCCACTGAAAAGTAAACCAGTCTCAGTCTCTCTCTCTCTCTCTCTCTCCTAAAATCACGCGTCCATAACCCAGAGGAGGCCCTATCCCCCACCCCCCCTCTCTCTCTCACTATTATTCTATCACAGTAAACTGCAGAATCAAGATAACAATATAATGTCTAGCAACAGGCCTGCATTCAGCAACCAGGGTTCTTTTTGTCGAAAACTGAACCTTTCCTTCCCCCCAGTTGACCCAGCTTGAGAAATGACATAGAACTCAGATCAAGTATTGATTGAGAGGGGACCTTTTCTTGCCAAAAGGACGGAGATTTTAAATAGAAAGAAAGTAGATAAAAAAAAGTCTTCAGTCAGTGAACTGTGGGATCTTATGACAGTCCTTCACTCTTCATGGTTCGTTACACAACTGATGTGTATTTTCCCTGTCCTGGTGAAAATAAAGGAAGGAAAATGGGAAGCCCCACTTTCTCAAGTGCCAAAAATATTGATAACAATTCTTCAAATATTGATAAAAATTCGTCTTCTTCATATTATTATTATTATTATTATTATAGAAATGAACAAGTATATAAACCAAATGCAAAAGCTTGTCTTTATATTTATTTTCTATTGCAACATGACTGAAAATGTGCAAAATGAGATACAATGCGACACCGGAAAAATACAGTACATCGATATCATTTCGTAAAATTAACAGCAATTAATAATAGATTTAAAAAGAATGCAAAAATTAATAGTAAAGTATTAAATATTAAATTAATATTATAACAAAAAGCGTAATGTTGCAGTGATTTCGACTCTAGAAAAAATACACTGTACATGTCGAGAGGCCTATTTATAATAACAAAACAAATGCTAACAACCAATTAAGACAGGAAAAAACACCAACCACACTTTCAAAAACGTGTGTAATATTAAATTAAAAAATGCTAATTTAATGTTAAAACGTAGATAAAAATGTAAGGATACAGTGGCTAAGCTAAATTTATGCCAAAACAGAAATAAAAATGTAACGATACAGTGTCAACAACACTGAAATCGCCGAAAAAACTTTTTTATCATTTTGCTCAAAGCATTTTGATATTTTACAATTTGATGAGAGAGAGAGAGAGAGAGAGAGAGAGAGATTTGACATGTAAATATGCAAATAATGATGGTGCAAAGGCTTTGCAAAGCTATCTTCCAAAAAAAAATCTTCACCCAGTCATTATCCTATAAATAAACTAACCAGTGAGGCTATTTTTAGCAATACGGACCTCCATTATAAAAGAGCGTAGTTCGCCCGGCTAGTCATTTTTAATTTTTAATTAATTTTCTAGCGCGAGAGAATCGCCACAAAGATCACAGATAAATATTGTAAATAACAGGTACATGTATGTTTTTTTAACCACGACGATGGGATTGTGGTCGTGTTTATACAACGGTGAGGATTGTTTGATATCATTTAACCTTTTTATCGCTGTAATACTGTTTGTGTGTTATCTGAGAGCAGTATAAAGATAGGGGAAATGATGAGTTAACGAGGATACGAGAGGAATTTTACTTTATTTATTTATTTATTTATTTATTTATTTATTTATTTATTTATTATTTTTGTGATCACATTTGCTCTGAGAGAGACTTAAATGTTATTATACGGCAAGTGAAATGCATTTTCATTTTCAGATAGGTCTTCTAACGCTCACCAGCCACGCAAAACAATAATCATTCTTGGCGACGACGGTTGTGGAAATTCTTGTCTAGTCAGCGTTTTCACAAAGGACAACTTCGCCATAAACCGTCTTCCTGTCCCTTCCACGAGTAATATTTCATACATAGAAATTGATGGCAAAATGGTAATTATTTTTTCATATGTTGCGCTGCATATCATTTCAGCCCCCCCCCCCCTCACGCGAAACCGTGAAGGAATTATATATAATTTTTTATAGCCTATCACAGTATATGAAGAGATACATGTATAATCCTCATTTCAACTTTCTGTTCTGTCATTTGGCTTTGTCAATAAACTTACAACATTTTGGAAGAAAATTGCAGTCTTTAGCAACACAGCTAGGCTCGGGCAGATCATCCCTCCAGTTCAGATTTTGGTATTGCTCATATCTTTAACAAGAGATAGAGACCTTGAAGGACCCTCCGATGTCACCATACCCGTACACACCTATTGCATACGTCCCATTGGATAAGTCTCCTTGAGGGATCTGGAGCAGAGAGGTATAGCCAGAACAGCGATCAAAGTCGTCATTAAAGTACGCACTGTTACCTTGGCGGATATTGCATGTCTGACTTCCACCGGATTCAATATTAGACATTGCATCACAGGCAAAAAGAGCCAGCTTCGTGTCGTAGTCGGCGGCATTGCATGTGGATATAATGATGTTGTTACTTCCTGAGTAACAGATGCTGTATCGCAACGGTGCCAGATTATTTGCGACATATTGATAGCTGTCGTTGAAGGTATAGGTTGTACCATCACACATGACTTGTTGAACGTCCGCTGTAAGTGTTAATATAATTTAAGTGTAAATATAATTTCGACTTTCACATTGGCCACACTATTTTACAATAATAATGATTATATATACCCGGTTAATATATATATATATATATGAATTTCCGAAATTGGATCCCGTAAAAGTTTTTAAAAGTAAAATAAAAATAAAAAGATTATTAGTAATAATGATAATTAAAAATAAAAATAATTAAGTTTTATACAAGTACAACATTGGTCAAAAAGGTTGTCCCACCCCCACTTCCATATACTTTTATTTACAAATGATCAGCTCACAGGTGTAAATTGTTATAACTAGTGCTTTTTATTCTAGATACCATGTCTAACATGAATAATGGTTAAAAAAATACAAAATAGTGGTCTGTTTAGGAAGAATGGGAAAATATCCCACAAAACAGAATTATTACCCTTGTTGAAGGCTTGTCGCGCCATCTACAGGAGATAATTACAGTACGCGGTAGACGCACACGCTATTAGGCAGGTGACCTCTAACGAGCACATCCTAATGCTAATTATGTGTAAATTTGGTGACATTTGGTGGCGTCTTTTCAATTAAATAGGCACTTCTTTACATCTGTAGAAATCACAGTGGAACATTGGATCTGAGGGGGTACTTGTTATAAATTTGACTTAATGGTATAAAATGTGCATTTTACAACTCAATGAACTGTCTGTTATTTTAAAACAGTATGACATAGATTATGCCTGCATAACAGGGAGCTGGTGCAACTCATCCATCTCTGACAGCATATAATACAGTGAGAAAAGACAGAGAGCAGAAGAGGGGCGGTGGATTGGTTTGTTACATCTAAGAATCAATACCTTTCAAGATATGGAATGAGCTAGTCTGCAACCTGGAATCACTATGGATAACTTTGAGACCAAACAGACTACCTCGTCGTGAATTCTCACACATCAGCCTTGGCGCAATTTACCACCCTCTAGGTGCAGATAACAAGAGTATGACCCAACATATCATATCTTCCACTGACTTTATCCTCAGGGTCCACCCGTATTCAGCAGTCTTCCTTATTGGTGACTTTAACACACTCCCTGACAACCAATTTAAGAGAGCCTTCAACTTGAGACAGATTGTCAGGAAGGGTACAAGAAGAGAATCAATACTGGACAAAATCTTCACTAACATTGACCAATATTACAAGGTGCCCGAAATACTACCGCCAATAGGACATCCGACCACAATGCAGTACTCTCCCTTCCTGCAAATCATAACCGCAATCCATGTGGTAAAGAGGAAAAGATCCGCTGTCGCTCCATGGGAAAAAATGAAAAAAATTCTTTTCGCTCATGAGCTCATGAAAGTGAATTGGACACCACTGTATAAAATGGACACTTGTGCAAACCAGTACCAGTTCTTCGAAGAGACAATTAACAATCTCCTTGACACCTATCTTCCAATGAGAGTCATCAGCAGACACACAACGGACAAACCCTGGGTAACATCTGATTTCAAGGACCTCATCAAACGGCGTCAGAGAGCCCTCAGCGAAGGAAATACTAGCCTTTCACATGCACTCAGGAACAAAATCAAAAGGACAAATAAACAACTTAAGTCAAAATACTATAAAAATAAAATAGAATCATTGAAACAGTCCAACTCTTCCCTATGGTGGAAAAAATCAAAAGAATTATCTGGGATGCAAAACAATGTCACTTTACTCCAACTGCTGGCAGATAGCACATCTTCAGGCAATCTTCCAGTTCTGGCAAACAAAATCAATACCTTTTTTCATAGTGTCAGCCAAGACCTGTCACCTTTACAACCTGACGGAAATGCCCAGCAGAGTTGTATAGTACCTGACAAATTTGTTATCTGCACAGCGGATGTAGAAAAATTACTATCCAAAGTAAAGCTGTCTTAAGCTAAAGGCCCAGACCAAATTCCAAATTGGGTTCTCAGAGACTTTGCAGACTACTTGTCAAAACCACTTTGTGCAATTTTCAATAGCTCAGTAAGGGATGGTTGCGTACCAAAAATTTGGAAATCTGCAGAGATAATACCCATTCCAAAAGTGAATCAGCCAAAGGTAATAGAGTCAGATCTTAGACCTATATCACAAACACCAGTTCTAAGTAAAATTTTGGAGTCTTTTGTAACAAAGTGGGTTACAGATGGTCTGCAAATTGATAGAGCACAGTTTGGTGGCATTCAGAATAGTTCAACTACTCACGCCTTAGTTGAATTGACTCATAGATTACTAGAAGGACTTGAACCATCCCCCAAAACAAAGTCTTATGCTCAGGTGTTATTTTTAGATTTTGCTAAAGACTTCGACAGGATTGATCACCATATCTTAATGAAAAAATTAGAAATTCAAGGGATAGACCAATTGGCTGACTGGGTCAAGCAAAACAAGATGAAACTTAATGTAAAGAAGACTAAGTCAATGGACATAAATTTTACCAAGAACTGTAATCTTACAATGCCAACATTGGAAATAGATGGTGAACGTGTAGAAAAGGTCAAAAAGTTTAAGATACTTGGTGTTATTTTAACCCCAGACCTCAAGTGGGCTGAACACATCCGAATCATGTATGCTAAGGCATGTTTAAAGCTCTTTTATCTCAGACAGCTAAAGAGGGCAAAACTGGACATACAAGATTTATTAACTATTTACCAGTCTGTAATAAGATCAGTTTTAGAATATGCATGTCCAGTATGGGGACCAGGTCTGACTGCTGAGCAATCTGAATGTCTAGAGTCAGTTCAAGAGAGAGCTTTAAGGATTATTTGCCCTGGTCTCAGTTATGATGATGCCTTAAAAGTTTGTAACATTGACACCCTAGACAAACGTAGACATTTGCTGTATCAGAGGTTTTATACAAAATTAAAAAATTGTGAAAAGTTAGGACATTTATTGACTGAAAGAAACACCCGCCCTTTACGAAACACCAAATTCTTACAACCAAAAGTGAACGTTTTAAAAATTCCTTTATTAATTATTGCCTTTTTAACTTGTAGTAATTTATGGATGCCGTTTTAATTTGTAGTATTTTAAGAATAATTTATTGTTTTATAATTTAAAGTTTATTGTCAATTTTCTTTTAAACATTCTTTGTACAACTTCAACCTTAGGGTTGCAATTTTATCAAATAAATTATTATTATTATTATTATTATTATTATTATTATTAAACATACAGAAAAGATTCATATAAATGAAGTACAGCTTCAGTTGGAAAACCACATATATATAATTTCATCTTGAGTTGGAAAACCAGCTCAATTCCATTATTTTTCAAGAAGAAAGGCATTTTTTTTTTTTTTTTTTGCAAAAATGTTGGACTTTGAACTCCCACTGGCATGAAGCCTCATGGTAGTTACATATTCTTAGTGTCCACGTTAGATGAATAAAAAATTGGTGTTGACTTTGTTGTTAAGCATAATGTATTATTGCATCAAAACTGTCAAAAAAATTCTTTGCATCATTGTGTGTTCATCTAACAGCTTTGCTGCCTTGTTGATTCTCTTTCTACACACTGTTATGTAGGTTAAAAAAGATGCCATACTTACGACACCGTCTTGTTAGTTCAGCTGATAAAATTGATAAGAAGAAATATATTAGAAAAGCACATTAATGATATATATATACAAATAATCTATATATTGTACAACTTCTGCCACCACTTTTGCCGATGAATTTGAGAAATGAATCCTTAATGTCAATACATACACCAAATTCCCAACATATCAACAATTTTTTGTTCACTGCGTTTTTTAATGATCCTATAACGTGAATTGCAAGGTAATATCCATTACCACAATTATTTTCAATTTTAAAAACCACATCTTACATCCAGTTAGCTTGTAGTGCCTTTTTACACACTGGTATGTAGGTTATAGAAGATGCACTGTGCCTGAGATTATTTATAAAACTCCCTGGCTATCTATCATCTAAGACCTTAACTAATTTAAAAATCAGTAAAACGAGGCAGCAAGCAGCCTTAAGTAAAACACAAAAAATAAACACATATGAAAGTTGGTCTACACTGAAGAAAAATTAGTATTAAATATTTTTGTGTTGAATGTAATATCATACTTACGACATTGTGTGATAGATTCAGCTGAAAACGTGAAAAGATGTATTTTGCAAAAGTACACGAAAATATTCATACAATCATGTGCATATTCTGCCAACGTGAACAAAGATGTTAATATATATTATATATTGGTTTAGATATGAATTAATTGATATTATTCTCTCAATAGTAAAATATAGAACTCTATAGACTATCTCTATACAGCAACTAAAATTTCCCGTTTCTGCTTTTTTGTCTAGCCCATAAAACCAACTATTCTTACCAATTATTTTCTATTTCTGGCTATAGAAAGATAGGGAGGGCACGTTTGCAAATCAAATGTAATGTTTGATGTAATACTTACGACATGTCGGCATTTCTAGGGGAAAAAAGAAAGGCAATATTAAACACAATGGTGTACCACTTGAATATATAATCATTCAAATCATTATCATTTAAACATTGACATTTGCTTCATTTCAGATCCGGCGACAAATGTATGTAATTTGTTAAAAATAAAGTTTAGGTGATTCGGTCAATGAAACCATATGATAAAAGACAAAATAGTGGAATTTGTTTCATGCTGAATTACCAAAAGAAAAAGAGGTGTTCACGGAATTCAACTTTAACGGTTAAATACGATTGGGTTTATTTCCTTATCCGCTATTAGATACTGTGGAAATGAACATTGTCATTTTATGAGATAACATAGTCACATCCAATATACATTGAGGTAAATATGCTAGTTCCAGTTGGTGACGTAAAAGTAGTTATTTGGGAGAGAAATCTGTTATGTCCATTTCAAACAATATGTACTATAAACTGGTGTCAGGAAATTGGCGTAGGTTTAATCTCTACATAAAAAACAGCAACTCCCTTGATAATGTTGAAATCAGAACAACACAACAAAGAGTTCATAGCGTTTCCTTCGAATTGTTACACATAATTTGAAAAGAAATGTATAAAAGACTAAGTTTCCTTAGAACTTGAAAACCAATAACCTGACTTCCACTTCCCCCTTTTCCTAATGGTAGTGAATACTGTACCCTAAGTTTAAATGCGGTAGTATCGAAATCACAGACCATATTCCTGGATACATTGTTATAAGTTCAAGAGTTTAAACATAAGATCACCTGCACAAAATATATACAAATTTAAATAAGAATTGAAAGATTTTAAAATATCAACACCGAGCCCCCTGATGAGGGTATTAAAATCATAACCGTAAAATCAGAAAGAATTCCTTACTCTAAGTTGAATTGGTTATAACAAACATAACATCAAATAGGTTTTTTAAGCACACTTTTTATGTCGAATTATAATTTATTCAAGGAAGGACCAATATTTGAAAAGAAGAGTATAAAGTAGTAACTTTTCGTCGAACATTCAGAACCAATATTTCGACTTCAAACCCCCCCCCCCTTTCCTAATGGTGGTAATGGTACTGCACCCAGGCAATAAAATCTATAACTGCAAGTTCTCACCTGGAACGCAATTTTGTGGATCTGGATCAGAAGAGTTGAACATGTATCCCTCTTCACACACACAGACCCGAGGTTCTGGACAAGGTAAACTTTGACCTTCTTCATTGGTAGTATTCTGACAGTTTGACACTGTACTGTTATCTACTGTCTCACAGCATCTGGTATTATTACCACACACAACTGGGGGCCTCACTACAATTTATGAAACAGAAGGCAAAACTTACCAACACAGTATAATGAATTAATTTATATAGATTTCAATTCAGAACATGATGCCAGAATGATCGTGCTTCTGTGCGCATCCTTCTAACATGAAAGACAGTGCGCCATACAAAACATGTGTACAAGTTTAAATACCATAGTATTGAAATCATGAACGCAAATCATTGAGAGTTCCTTGCTCTTTTTAGAAACGTTAAAAACACACAGTACTTTAACCAGCAATGGGAGTTCTCACCTGGAACGCAATTTTGTGGATCTGGATCAGAAGAGTTGAACATGTATCCCTCATCACACACACAGACCAGAGGGTCTGGACAAGGTAAACTTTGATCTTCTTCATTGGTAGTATTCTGGCAGTTTGACACTGTACTGTTATCCACTACCTCACAGCATCTGGTATTATTACCACACACAACTGGGGGCCTCACTTCAAGTTATGAAACAGAAGTCAAAACTTGTCAACACAGGGAAATGTATTTTTGTATTATTTTAGTTTAGAATATTGCGCCAAGTTCATTGTGTATCTGGGTTTACATGCACTTCAAACATGACATACAGTGTGCCATACAAAACATTGCCAAATTCCAACCACTGCGACAAGCGACAACTGGTATACGACACCCATTTTCAAACCAGTGTAAAATACAATGCTACTTGTCGCATGTGTGCAAACCATGATAAAAAATATTATTTATCCATATATTGTTATAAGATCTGAAGTTTAACAGTGAAGTCACATGCACAATTTACACATGTGTACAAGTTTAAATACCATAGTATTGAAATCATGAACGCAAATCATTGAGAGTTCCTTGCTCTTTTTAGAAACGTTAAAAACGCACAGTACTTTAACCAGCAATGGGAGTTCTCACCTGGAACGCAATTTTGTGGATCTGGATCAGAAGAGTTGAACATGTATCCCTCATCACACACACAGACCAGAGGTTCTGGACAAGGTAAACTTTGACCTTCTTCGTTGGTAGTATTCTGACAGCTTGACACTGTACTGTTATCCACTACCTCACAGCATCTGGTATTATTACCACACACAACTGGGGGCCTCACTTCAATTTATGAAACAGAAGTCAAAACTTGTCAACACAGGGAAATGTATTTTTGTATTATTTTAGTTTAGAATATTGCGCCAAGTTCATTGTGTATCTGGGTTTACATGCACTTCAAACATGACATACAGTGTGCCATACAAAACATTGCCAAATTCCAACCACTGCGGCAAGTGACAACTGGTATACGACACCCATTTTCAAACCAGTGTAAATCACAATGCTACATGTCACTTATTTACCAACCATGATTAAAAATATTTTTTTTCTACAGATATTGCTAGAAGATATGAAGTTTAATATTGAAGTCATCTGCACAAAATATACATGTTTACAAGTTTAAATATGGTAGTATCGAAACCACAAACACAAGTCATAAAGAATGCCTTACTCTTCCTTGAAAGGTAAAAACATGCAGTCCTTTAACCAGCAATGAAAGTTCTCACCTGGAACGCAATTTTGTGGATCTGGATCAGAAGAGTTGAACATATATCCCTCATCACAAACGCAGACCCGAGGTTCTGGACAAGGTAATCTTTGCCCTTCTTCATTGGTAGTATTCTGGCAGTTTGACACTGTACTGTTATTCACTATCTCACAACATCTAGTATTATTACCACACACAACTGGGGGCCTCACTTTAATTTATGAAACAGAATTCAAAACTCATGAATAATTTTAGAACATTATTTTAGAACTCATTAATTTTAGGACATTGTGGCAAATTAATGCTTATATGTTTTTACTTCTAAAATGAGATACGGTGTGCCATAAAAAGCATTTTCAAATTCAACCCACTACATGCCACGTGTACGCAAACCGTATATAATTACAAATATTATTTTAGATACATTTTTAGTTGAAATTTAAAAAAAATAGTCACCTGCATGAATTACAAGATTAAAAAAAGAACACAGAACCCCCTGACGACAGCATTTTGAAATCATTTAAACAAAATCTTAAAAGTGTTCTTTGCTCTTCCAGGATTCAGGGACACATCTGACAGCGAATTAAAATTATCTAAGGCCAATAATTCGTAAAGATAAGTGTAGAAGAGTACAACTTTTTATCAAACTTCAGAACCAGTACTGTGTATCTCGGCTTCAACCCCTTCTGTTTCCCCTAATTACTTATACTAATTACCGTATCGCTGCAATAAAGTCTATAAGTGCCATTTCTCACCTGGAACGCAACTTTTGGAACCTGGATCAGAGATGTTCAACCTGTATCCCTCATTACACACACAGGACCATTTATGCGGGCAAGGTAAACTTTTTTCAATGATAGTATTCTTGCAGTAGATCGAGTATCTTTTAACCTTACAGCACCTGGAGTTCTCCCCACACACGGGTCTTGGCGAAGGTTTTTTACACTTCTTGCCTCGACTACCGCACTCCTGGCAGCGTATACGTGAGAAGGCGAGGTGCGATGGCTTAGCGTGCCGGCCGCCGTGTTTCCGGGGATGTCCTGGTCGTACTCGGGTTATACAGAAACGGCTGTGCCTTGTACGCCCTAAATGTAAATTCAAGATTTTACAAAGAGTAAAACAGCTTAGACCTATATCATTTTTTGTCTAATTTGTCGAAAAACCTGCATTAAAAAAACGTTTTTAAATTATTACAAGATATGATAAAAAGCATGTCATAATGTCCGACCTCGCTTGTAAGTAACGTAAAGCATAATGCTGATGAAACAGGGCCCGATCAAATAAAGTTTGACCAGTCATGGTAATTTGGAAAAAAAGAAACTAGCATCTATCTTTATAATACTGGATGGTGAATTACAAAAGCCGTAATTTAGCACTTACGAATTCTGGCGACCGCATACAGTGCAACCAAAACCAAAATCAGACAAAGGAGCAATGTCCTGTACATCTTCATCTTCAAACGGTAGTCTGGGCGACTGGCTGATTTACTGGCCCACGGTGACTACGGCAGTATGTGGGTCCGATGAAACGCTCAATGAACTGAAACCTTAACAGCTTTCTTTTTATAGAGCATTTCTTGGTTGACAAGTTTTAGTCAATCATTTGTTAGGGAAGGCACAGTTGTTCTATCCTCTACCAGGGCCGCGGGTTAAATATGTGCATTTTTCATTTAGCGCGAGAATCGTGTCATAAATAAGCCTGAGACATATTTGTGAATAGAGAAAAAAATATCTGTGGCCCTTTGTGAGGGTAAATTTGCTCACTGCTAAAAATATTATCTATTTTTTTTTTTTGGGGGGGGGGGGGGGGGGGGGGGGGGGTGCAGGAATATTCC